CCTGCTTACTCCTAACTCAAACAAACGCTGCCTTCGATCATCTAGTCAAGAGCTTCTGTTTGTGCCAAACTTTAGGCTTAAAACTTTTGGAAACCGGACTTTTTCATATGCAGCCCCAACCTTGTGGAATTCTCTCCCATACAATCTGAAAGTTTCTGATAGTATTGCCACATTCAAGTCAGGACTCAAAACATACCTGTTTTCAATGTATTATTAGTAACTTTTTTTGGACGTGTACATATTGCTGTATAAATGTCGGAGACTCTTTTAATCTGTCATTGTTGCGCCTTGAGCATATCTGCTGACGTGGAAAAGGCGCATGAAGAAATCTGCAATATATATACTAGTAGTTCAGTATGGATATATGCGCGTTAGAAATGCTCTATTATTATTATTATTATTTGTCCAATCTCTGCCATCGGAGATCTGTTACATTTGAGAAATTTAAGGAATATAGAACGTTTGTGCAAAGTCATACCCTGTCTTGACAATCCTCAGAAACAAAATTCCGTTTGATGTTAAGAGAAAAATAGTTGTGTAAACTGTAAGACTGGATCACTGGAAACCAGTGACGACACCATTTGTTCGAGAAACGTAAAGGCTCGTCTTGCTTTACTGGTAGCACTCGCCATTCACACATTTAGCTAAAAAGGAAAATATTTGTTTGCAGCAGTACTCCTGCCATGCGCGGCCTGTAAACAAACCAAACAATCAAGTGATCGATAGAAATCCAGTGAGATAATTCTGAATTACGACGACTATATATAAATATGTTTGTATCGGAAAAGTCTTCTAATAGGTATTGCGCCTGTTGAAAAATCCATTTTGAACAAAATGAGATCTTGTATGAAACATACGCCGAAGTCTTTGAAAGGCCTGAGTTGTGGTCACTTTAGCCTGGAACTTGCTCAGGGAGAGGGGTCACACAGATACATCTGTCATATCTAGGCGTTGTGAAACGTGGATGTCCGGCACGTGGCACGTTCCTTATTGTTCTGATATAATGTCTCAAAAGTGGTGTTTGGAAATGCGCAGTCAAGTAACGTTGACATTCCCCAACGGACCATCCCAACAGGGCCTGTTAGTCTCACGAGGCGCTGCTTCCGGTACTAAGCTGGTTCCCTTTCCCCTCCCAACTAGCGATATGCGAGACAGGGTCCTGCTTACTTCCGGTACCAGATTTCAGGTGACAAGCGGAAAAACTGCACGACCGCCAAATATAACTTTACTAGACCGGGCCAAGTGTACAACCATGCGTGGCTGTCACTGCTATTGACAGTCGTTCTAGTTGGCTAATTTGGTGATGGTTAGATTGGAAATGTGTTACTCCTGCAAGGAGTATCGGTTCCTTACTGTCAACTGACAACCATGAGACCATGGAAACCATGAAAAGGTATGTTGTTTGTCACCGGAAGTACTAAGGTCTCGCGAAGTGACGTGACCTACTTACGGGCCATATAGTCTCATGACATTGGGCAATATTCATTTGCCTTTTCATGTCTGCCCAATCAAACAGAAAACAATCTTCTCAAATCGACAGCAGTTTTCGACATTCATGTGCTCCACATAGTTTATCGAGATTCACATGCACGCATGTAGCTTATGTGTTCACTTCAACTCATGGTTACTGTGTTTACATCTGTATTTGTGTACATAAGTAACTCCAGTATTTAGTTTTATTTCCTTTTGTGACTAGTATAATTGTCATTACCATAAGACCAAGACACTGTTCAAGGATGATCCCTAATCAAAACGACTACTAGGTGTTAATATTTATTAAAGCTTCTCTCTCAGGGCCTACAAATATGACCTCACGACAGCTCAGAAATCTCACAGGTTGTGCAGGCAGATGACAAAGCCACGTGTGTGCCCTCATTGACATTCTGTTTGTTTGTTGTGTAACGCTAAACCATATGACGGCAGCCCGTAAATAATACAATCTGGACCAAATACTTCATTGACTGGCATCATGAGCGTTGTTCTACGCCATTGGAATACGTTGACATGCATCAACCAAATCAGACCATCCGATGCCGTTAGTCGCCCTTACAACCTGATCGGTTTGTGAAGACCAGTTCTAACCCGGATCTTCACAGGTTCGTCGGTCTTTGGAAAAAGGTAAAACTGCAAGTCATGGATCACTCAATATAATCGGCTGTAAATATTTAATAACTATTCCAGCACTTTAAACAAAACCGCACGCCATTTGTTTCCAAACCATTCTGGTGTGAAACGTCCAGGAACTGTGTATTCCTTGAGGGTAGTCCAAGACATACAAATTCCCTTACAGCTATTATCAGGCGGATACTAAAGACCGGTTCGATTTCATAATAAAACAAATATGTCTTCCTAATAAGTATTTATGGAGCCGCGTTTGCACGCGAATGTATTATTCTTCAGTGTGTGCACGTATTTACTTAACTTTATTAAAACACAGACAGCTTGTGTTGGTCGTTAGTGATGTTTACTATGTCAGTCATTGTTTGAAACATAATGCTGTCGAACACATTGTCCTCAAACAGCTTTTGGTTACAATTACATGAAAAGGTGTAACTAAAGTACTGTCGGAAATGCTAGAAAAATGCTTTTTGACATATTTAAAATTTAGAGGTATTACATACAGTTACTTAAATAACAAATATCACTTTAAGAAACATCTATCTAATGTAGACCGAGGGAATAATTTTTGAGACATGCCCTATAATGTGTTTTTACGGATGAAAATATCGAAAACTTAGAAAAATAAGGGGTAGTGGGACGTTATTTGATACAAACATTAACTGCCTGTGTTACGTCATCAGCATCCACGGTATCGACAGGTGAAATTGACACCTGAGTACACGCTCGGCCGAGGGGTCATCTCAATAGATGTTTTCTTCAAAATGTTGAATATGTGTATGTATAGTACATTGTATACGTATTGGTTATGTAAGGGATCATTTGTGTATGTGTGTATGTGTGTTTGTTTTGAATTACACATACGAATAACTGTACATTGGAAAGAATCCTATCAATGTGTTATCTTACCGATTGATTGTAGAAATGTGCAACGTTTTAATAAATGTTTTGCATGTCAACAGTATATTTCATTGCAAAAATATGGATGTAATTCGGTCAGTTTAATCTAGTTGTGAACATTGGCCAAAGATTTAACGAAGTCACTGGTGTAGCTTCTTTTGAATATATATATTATTCTTCTTCTAAAGTTTGTAGACCGCCCGTCTAAGTACTCCCTTGTCAAAGTTGTCAAGGATGGTTGTACGTCCCGGTTTTGCTTTTGAGACGGTCCCTGTCCTGTCTGATTTGTTTACAATATTGTAAACTTGTTGGTAAGACATACCAACAGCTCTACAAGTTCTGTAATAAACCCTTTTTAAACTAATGAAAGGTTTACCTCTGTCTTTTTCAAGCACAATAAAACTTATAAACCTTTGCAACAATCGACTACAAATAGTTGGCCATAGTGGACGCTGTGATAAAGATGTGCATGCATGACGGGAAACTTATTTATCAAGACTTAACATTTATATTAATATTTCTCCAATAAAGAAACGATAATTAAGTAAAGTAACACAAACATTCAACATTTATTTGTTTAAAAAAAACGTTAATTATATTTTTACACCACCTGTATTATTTGCATAAATTTAAAGACTATTTCAGACTTCTGTTGAATCTTAAGTTGTTGTTTTGGTACCACATTCTCTCCTGTAAACTGCCCTTTAAATGCATGGGAATGTTAAATCGATTGAAATAAAAATTAGGTACACTATAGGCGAGTTGATATATTGACAACATAGTACATTTATCACCTTTATAAAGATATATGGGCAAAAAAGCATTTTTCTAGCATTTCCGACAGTACTTTAACATTCGGCGAAGCTTCGAATCAAGCGGTTCAGTGATATGATTAGAATTCTGTTCTTAGAATCTAATAATCCTGGTGATTTAACTAAACTTACACATGTTTAAATATATATGCAAGCAAACCTTTTTGAGAATGCAACAACTAATAAGCTCAGTGCCCAAGTTATCAAGTACTCAATTATATACTAAAAATAGCCCCAAACAAACAAAAATAGCAATACGCGCCATCCCCAACTCCAAAAACAAATAAAATATAAGAAGTAAAAACAACACTACAACAAAACAGCACATAGGCCCGCAAATGTTTCACAAGAACGTTGAGAGATAATTATGTTGTTTGTTTAACGCTGCACTCAGCAATATTCAGCTACATGGCGGCGGTCTGTAAATAATCGAATCTGGACCAGACAATCCAGTGATCAACAGATAATTATGTGAAATATCCATGTGTTACTTACATATGCAAGATGATTTATTTGTGTCTTTGGGGAGCAATTACCACCTGTTGGTCAAATCAGATGCTTAACTGTAGACTATTTCTTCGGACCGTGCATAAATGTTCAGGGTGAGAAGGTTTGTTTTGAGACAAAGGGAGTGTTAAGTCTCATTATTTAAATAAAATATTTCTCTGTCTTCCTTTCACTTTTTTGCGTTTCTCCTTTACTGACGATCATATCAAAACATCTTGCCAAATAGCCATGACAAGATAACTCTTTGGCCATCAGACTTCAAATTGTACATAAAGTGTTGCATTATTGTGACGCAATGTTTCAACTATTATAATGGTATGTAGCCCCTGCCACACCCATTGGCAGTATTCGTGAACGAGAAAGACCTTGTGATTTGAATGTTTGGTATATATTGATTTACATGAAGTGATTCATGATTTTATACATTTCTATCAGATAATGAGGTCACAAGTTATATCGCAATTCTCCTTGGAACCCGAAGAATATTTTCCCAAACAATCACAAGGCAGAAAGGTAGGCATATGTGTAAGTGAAAGAAAGTTAAAGGTTTTAAAGTTTGATCCAGAATCGAAAACGTGAACAGACGTGGAGATGACCGGACGCACTGATGGACAGTGTCCATTTTAATAGTCGGGGTTCGATAATGATAAGTGTTATACGTACGTGATCTCCTATACAGATTTCCTGTAATGCAGGCTGCAGATGTTCCAGTCATATCACGGTACATGACACACGCGCCACTCACTGTATTGAATGTAAATGCGACACAGTTTTCTGTGGACTCACACTGGACACTACAATCAGCGGTAAAGTTGGCTCCGGTGTTCCCAAGCGATGTCATGTAGACCTGTTGTACTTTTTTAAAAGTTTCGTTTACACACAGTGAATTAGTTTGTACCAACTGACCAAGCTGTAAGGCGACGAAGATATGTAAGAACATGGCGATAGTTTGCAGCTGTTCTTCCTTAGATTAAGTTCAATGCTTGGAACAGCAGACAAGAAGCTAATCAACAACAGTTCTAACACACTGTGTGTCTAACCATTACAGCATGACTGTTGGGTTTCAATATTGATTAAAGTGTCGTACTCCTAAAGCATTCGCAGTAGGCGGAGCTTATTGGATTGATCTTGTCTGTCAATGCGACAACACACGTTCTCATTGGTTACTGAGAAATCAGATGGCATGACACCTATCGACAAAGGCCACTTGTAAAGAACTTATTTGAGAGGGATTTAGACCAAGCAGAGCTCCATTTGTCTGTAGTTTGGTACACTGTCTGCTGGAAAAGGGCACCGTGTTTTAGTATAAAGCTCTTTGAATGACTGTTTGGCAAATCAAGAAGTGCAATTCAGCGACTTTTGAACTAACATCTTTGAGAGGCTTCTAGAAGCAGTAAGAAAGGATAAGAATATATGGATAAACGACCAATTTATTGCAGTTAGAGCGACGTTTCGGTGTAGGTTCTAACACCGTGGCTCTCACTGTAATAAAGAAGTTGTTCATCCACATAAGCTTATCATTTCCATTAGGAAAGAGTTGAACTTTAAGGATATATGTCACTGACCTGAAAGATTGATGCAAGAACACACACACACACACGCACGCACGCACGCACGCACGCACTCACGCACGCACGCACGCACACGCACACACACAGACACACGGAGAGCGGAAGGTCGCGGGTTCGATCCCTGACCGAGTCATACCAAAAGACGTTCAAATATGGTACTTGTTGGTCCCTGCCAATGGGTACAACAAGGACTGGTCGGCTCGGAGTCAGTATAATGTGTCTGAGTGGGGTATTCATGCTTCACTGCGGCATGGTATCTCAGTGGGCTAGCACTATAAAACCGGCTTCAGTCTGGGCTAGTACAAGCAGCCACACATACACACGCATGCACGTCGTCATATGAGCGAAATATTCTTATGACGACGTTAAACAAAATTTCACCTCACCTCACCTCTCTCTCTCACACACTCACACACACACACACGCACGCACGCACGCACGCACACACACACACACACACACACACGGAGATTGTTGGAGACACTGCCTTCAAAGACAGGCGACTAAAACCTTGTACATGTATTTGGATAACTGGATACACGTTACATAACATCAAATCAGAATCCGTAGTTTCAAAAGCTCTTCAGAGTAGCAGACCGGATCACGTGACTGCCATGTTTAGGAGATTTTGTGTACGGGTTTTGTTTTTTCAAATGTACATCCATCAAGTAATAATAATTGACTGACATTTCTTGCGGAACTGCCGTTGGTCTGTGTATCTTCATGTACTTGGAAAAGGAGCTGGCTGAGGGTGTCATTTTTTATATTTGTATTGTTTCTTTCAGGCCAGACTATGCACACATCTACATGTACTAGCTCTTGATATCTTAGTTAATGTTTTAAAAAAATATAACTATAGAAGTCAATGGGAAAATATTTGTGTGTTTTTTGTAGCCTAATTGTTTACAGTTTAATGAAACTTCGTATTCATTTCGTCACGCCGGCCGCAGTACCAGGTTCTGTTCCCATCAGTTAAATATTTTCTTGGTGCCCCTGCCTGGGTAGTGCGGGAACATTGCTGAAAGCGGCTGTAAACTTTGCCGAGAGAAACAGATCAACATCCACGGTAGCTAGTGAGGAAGAATGGTGGGGTGTTGTCCCATTGATAACATCTGCGTTAATCCCGTCCCTGTGTAAAGAAGCAAATGATCTGGTGGGACATGCTCGGTGACTTGATAAATTCGTGATATAGCGAACTGATGTTGACACATGTTATCATATCCCAATGCGTGGATCCAGGCTCAGGATCACTGGATTATCTGCTCCAGGCTCAGGTATTTACAGACTACCCCATACAGCTGGAATAGTGCTGAGTGCGGTGTAAAGCAACTAACAAGACAAACTGATTTCTTGACCAGACAGGGTCGTTAAGCTAGTGCTGTAATAGCGATTAAGCTTTCCAGACTGCACCGAACAGAATAGACCTTCTGATGTAATTGTGTCAGCCATGGGTGCATGCGATCCTTTATAACCCATGATAAATCATTGTTACATTGACGCTTCACGTCTGTCAAAAAAGCGTGCTTCACGTCTGTCAAAACGCGTGCTTCACGTCTGTCAAAACGCGTGCTTCACGTCTGCCACGTCTGTCAAAACGCGTGCTTCACGTCTGTCAAAACGCTTGCTTCACGTCTGTCAAAACGCGTGCTTCACGTCTGTCAAAACGCGTGCTTCACGTCTGTCAAAACGCGTGCTTCACGTCTGTAAAAACGCGTGCTTCACGTCTGTCAAAACGCGTGCTTCACGTCTATCAAAACGCGTGCTTCACGTCTGTAAAAACGCGTGCTTCACGTCTGTAAAAACGCGTGCTTCACGTCTGTAAAAACGCGTGCGTCAAAACGCGTGCTTCACGTCTGTCAAAACGCGTGCTTCACGTCTGTCAAAACGCGTGCTTCACGTCTGTCAAAACGCGTGCTTCACGTTTGTCAAAACGCGTGCTTCACGTCTGTCAAAACGCGTGCTTCACGTTTGTCGAAACGCATGCTTCACGTCTGTCAAAACGCGTGCTTCACGTCTGTCAAAACGCCTGCTTCACGTCTGTAAAAACGCGTGCTTCACGTCTGTCAAAACGCGTGCTTCACGTTTGTCAAAACGCCTGCTTCACGTCTGTCAATTTTCAATTTATTACTCAAATCACCACCAACGGTGGTACATGAGAATACAATATTACTATAGTCATATAAATATATGCATGACAAGATGGCAGATAAAAGCGAAAAAGAACCAAAGGGTAATGTATCTTTGTAGACTTAAATATTACATTAATGTACGTAGCAAGACTTTTAAGATTGCGCGTTTGATTAGACGAGAACAGTTTGACGACATTCCACAAGGTTATTGGATTCAGGTAAGAAGGTAAATATGTTTGTCTATACAGTAATAAAGCATCGCATTTGAACAGATAATGGAGTTCATCTCCCACAGCATGAGAGTTGCATAAATTACACAGACGATATTCTCTAGGAACATTTGCCCAACGGCCAACTTCTATAGGGAGATGGTGATTACTTGTTCTGTATCTTAATATCGGAAAATAGATATGTTTCGGCAGAAAGAGATATCTCTCAAATTCTATATTGGTTTTTTAGGATACGATAAAAAGAAGATTTGGAGCTCTGTTTTCTATAAAATCTATTCCTGGAGTTTTATTTCTTTTTAGCTTTTTAACTGATGAGATGATTTCATCACAAGTGATATCTGAATTAAGAATATCTGACTCTATTGGATTAGTTTTAACAAACTCTGGGCCATTTTGATCATTCCGATCATTTAATTCTTTGAATTTTTTTTGAAAAAAACGTGTCCAGATCGGGTTGTTTTACTTGTTTACTTTTCTTACCACCATTCAAAGTTTTTCAATAATCCTTTGGGGCATACGTTTTATTGTGACGTAAAATAGTCCTTGTCTTAGATTTATATTGTTTAATAAGTTTATCTAGGCATTTTTTTATAGGATTTGCTAAGAAGAGACTGCTCGGCTACTGGACAACTCGATGCTTGAATTGAAAAGGACAATGGATAGTGTACGTCAGAGTAAAACGGTAAAAACTCTCCAACATAAAATACGATATTATTCTTAGTACTGATGGAGAAGCAATCAGATAGTCAATAACAGTTTTATCCTTACACGTGAGCTTACCCTCCACATTATCCGGTTGTATTCGACCATTACAGATAAACATGTTCAGGCATTTACACATTTGAAGTAATTTACATCCATGACTATTTGTTCTATTGAGATCTTGTGAAGTTCTTTGAAGAGGCAAATTTAAAGATGCTAAAACAGTTTCAGGATCAAAATCATTTCCAGTATCTGACAAGTCAATGTTTAAATCATCAATGATATGCTTATCTACACAACAATAGTCACACGATATGCTAGTCTTAGCATTGAAATCACCTACTAAAACAGACACTTTCAGAGAGTCTGAAAGTGTAATACCGATTGTTCAATTTCATAAAATGCGTCAGTATTAAGTTATTTCGATCCTTCTGGGGGAAGATACACGAAACCTACATACATGACACATTCGCTAGGAATAAGGACACTGGATATTTCTATCCAGAGGACATATTCGTTACTGAGATCTTTATGCACTGTTACATTAGCTTTGAATTCATCTTTAACTGCAACTCCAATTCCACCGGATTTTCTACTGGATTTCGGTCTATGCTGAATGTGTTTAGAGTATCCGGGGATTTCTAACTCATCAAATATGTCGGTGTCTCAAGCCACATACATTCACACTTAGGACATTAATAGTTGAGGGTTTACTTGTACACTTTATCAGTTAAGTCAACATGAACATTGTTGGTAACATCACTTCTGTCGTCAATATCACATTCTATATTCTAGTCTATGTCTCAAGCCACATACATTCACACTTAGGACATTAATAGTTGAGGGTTTATTGTACACTTTATCAGTTAAGTCAACATGAACATTGTTGGTAACATCACTTCTGTCATCAACATCACATTCTATATTCTAGTCCATGTCTCAAGCCACATACATTCACACTTAGGACATTAATAGTTGAGGGTTTATTCATTCACACTTAGGACATTAATAGTTGAGGGTTTATTGTACACTTTATCAGTTAAGTCAACATGAACATTGATGGTAGCATCACTTCTGTCGTCAACATCACATTCTATATTCTAGTCTATGTCTCAAGCCACATACATTCACACTTAGGACATTAATAGTTGAGGGTTTATTGTACACTTTATCAGTTAAGTCAACATGAACATTGATGGTAGCATCACTTCTGTCGTCAACATCACATTCTATATTCTAGTCTATGTCTCAAACCACATACATTCACACTTAGGACATTAATAGTTGAGGGTTTATTGTACACTTTATCAGTTAAGTCAACATGAACATTGATGGTAGCATCACTTCTGTCGTCAACATCACATTCTATATTCTAGTCTATGTCTCAAACCACATACATTCACACTGAGGACACAAATAGTTGAGGGT